ACTCTTTATCTACTGACACGAAATTTTTAATTTCGATTTCCCGACTGAAAATGTTTTTTTAAAAGGTCAAAAAGTTAAGAATTCGTTCGAACTTGTAGAGGAAAGATAAAGTAAACTATCGGAAATCTTATATTCGCCGAGAGATAACGATAATGTCGTGGCAGAAGAACTATCGCGAAAAATACTGCTCGAGGAAAATTCATAATTATTTTCATAGATGAAAATGATAGACGAGATGAATATTAAAACAGATGATACCCGCAACCTACGTTAAACGAAAGCAAAAATTTCTAATTAATTATTATAATTAAAAACCGCAAAGTATTAGCTAGCGCAAATCACATTAAAAATTCATACGAAACCCGCATTCGCCTCCCCTTCCCCTCCCCCCCCACGAAAATCGATGACGTCGAATTTATTTATTTAAATAAAATTAAATAAAAAGGCGGCGTTTCCCTCATTTAAATTAACTTATTAAAATAATTTCTCTCTCTCTTACGTCATAATTTAAAATTCGTGAATGAATTTTTTTTTTTTTTTTTATTTAATGCGCGGACACGAAAAAAAAAACGAAAAAATAATTAAATATGTCAAAAAAAAAAAAAATGAATTTCGGGTTAACAAATCCGGGAGTCTCAAACGACAAAAAAAAAAAAAAAAGAAATGGCAGGGAGGCTGGCAGGCAAGCAGGCTGGCAGGCAGGCGTGGAACTAGACTAAAAAAACCAAACATCTTTTTCATCAATACCGAATACGATACAGATGATGATGATGATACTTTTTATTTTTACCTTAGAGTAAAAATAAATACGTTTTTTATTTATCTACGAGGAGCGTACGCGTTCAGGTAACCAAAAACCCCTAAAGGAAAAAAGAAAAGGAAAGAAACAACAACAACCAAATCGGTTTTATCATTATTACCTTTTAAAATGAACGAAGAGGAGAAGGAGGAGAAGAAGAGGAGGAGGAGGAGGAAAAAAAAAGACACCGAAATAAATGCTAATTGAATGATTTCTCAAATACTTTCTCATACCTGAGTGTGTGAGAACCTATTTTACTATTATTATTATTATCATCATCATCATCATCAACGTATACGAGATTTTCTTTTGTTTACCTTCATAGACGTACCTTTTTTTTTTTTTAAAGAACGAGCAAATACCTTTCTTTGTAAATCAATATTGAACAATTGCACGTGCCTAAATCGTTATTATTTTTCAATGCTACCAACCGAACAGATTCGCATCATTCATCACCCGTGAAAAATGGCTACCAAATTGCAAAGAAGAAGAAAAACGAACGAATTTATCATCATCATCATCATTATTATTAAACATTCCAGAATATTCTCCATCTTTCTTTTTCGGAAAGCCTGACCACACACACAGCCTTTTCGAACTCGTTCAAAACTTTTTATCACGTGGGAATCACGCCGGAAAATGAATGAAAATTTTTCCCTCGAACGGATTTAACGAACGTTCCCGTACGAAACGATTCCTAACAATTTTTTTTTTTTTTTTTTAAATGAAACGTTCGAAACGAACGTGGGTGTTTTAAATCATTTTTTTTAAACACGTTTTGCTGCAGGTCATGTCACGCGTGTGTGTACGCGCGCGTTTCTCTTTGCGTACGTTTATCGTACCGACGACGATAAATTTCCAAAAAAAAAAAAAAAAAAAAAAAATTTCCAGTAAATTCCAGTAAAAACACTTTCTAAAAAATATACGACAACTGGATAAATAAATATTCGCCATTATGATTTATGCATTCGGATTTGATAATAATAATAATAATAAAACCCGGTCGACTATGACCTCACGAATTACAATTGCATAACTTAATAACCTATCCGAATCTCATCGAGAGTGGAATTAGACAAAAAAAAAATTTTCCGACATGATAACAAATAAAAAAAAATGTCGACACTCACTTCGATTTCAATTAACGAAATTAATTAAAGAAAAAAAAGAAAAATTTTCTTCTACTTCTTCAAAGAGGACATTTTTCCATCTCGTCGACAAAAGATGTTGCTAATAATAATAATAATAATGATAAACGCTTACCTTATTGAAAAAATTTCCGACGTGACTTTATATAATTTTCCAAAGAAGACGTTGAGTCCAACCACTTTAAATTTTCACGATTGCAAAAATAATAATAATAATAATAATAATAATAAACAAACTATTGATATCACACGCGCACAATAAATATTTTCTTTTTGATTTTATTTTTAATAATCCGATAATCGTAATTTTCCACGATTTTCTTTTTTTTCTTCTCCTTTTCTTTTTTGTGGGAGTGCGTTCGACAAGTATTCACGTACGACTCACGACTTCGTCAAAAGTATTACGGCATAACTATAAAAAAAAAAAAAAAAAAAATCATACATTATGTGAACACAACGTTTTTCTTTCTGTTTTAATTCAGTTTATTATCGCTAGTGTCGCTAGCGTACTGTTTTCCGGTTTTTCGACCTTGTTTTCATTTTATTTAACGAACTCTATCGGAATTTTTATTAAACATTAGTTCAAACTATTTCCGCAACGGTTTTTTTAATAAAAAAAACTTTTTCAAATTTTATATTTACGCCATTTTTTTTTTTTTTTTAAATTTTACGTTCTTTAATGAAATATTACAAATTAATAATTTTCAATCGAATAATTACTACGTAGGGGGGGGGGGGGAGGGGGAAAGAAAAGATTTAAAAGAATTCACGTCCGTTATGGGAAACGAGTGATGACGACGACGCCGCCATTTTGTCAAATATCTTTTCCGGAATTGTTTTCGTATGAAAAAATCATTTCAAACCTCAACGAAATATTTATTTTCGTAGAGAATAAATAAATAAATAAATATCAAACATTCATTCATCAATCATCGGGATTTGAAATTTCGGGACTCGAATCAAATCGAAATCATTCATTCGAGATATCAACAACGATTCGACTAAACTAAATTTAAATTTTTTGTTTTTATTAAGTTGGCAACGATAAAAAAAAAAAAAAAAAAAAATCTCTGACTTTTGATATTCAAAAAAAAAAAATTTTCTTTTTAGTTAAACATATATATATATATATATATATATATATATATTATTAATCTTCCCTTTTTAAATAATAATAATAATAAATATAAGTAGGAGTCTTACGAGAAATTGAAACGAGATATTCTCGAAATTTTTGACTAAAATTAGACCGGTCACGTGATTTAAAATAAACCAATCAGAGTTTTAAATAAAAATATTTGGATTTAATTCAAGTAAAAAAAAAAAAAAAAAAAAAAAGAATTTTTCTCTCTCTCTCTCTCTCTCTGTCTTTTTTTACTTTTTTCTTTCTTTCTTTTTTTTTATTAAAAAAAAATTTTTTTTTTCTTTTTTAAATTGTTTTGCTAAGTTTCTCAGTCAGTCCGAATCTCAAGTCTGGGATTGGCTCCTCATAAAAAGTTTTTCTTATTAAAAATAAAAAAAAAGGTTTGTACAATCCTTAGGGAACATACAAAAAAATACACACACGTTAACGTTATTTTTTTTAAATTTTAAATTTTTTATAAAAACGGGATAATTCGATAATAATAATATTTTTAATTAATAAGTGAGTGTTTGTAACGTTTGTAATAAATATTACATTTATTATTATTATTATTATTATTATTATTTTAATCAAATTAAATTTATCGAGGGGTAAGTAAGTAAATAATTATTTAAATAATTGTTAAAAAATTTAAACCGAAAATAATTAATTAATTAATTAACGATAAATATTTTACGACATTTTGTTTTTTTTTTTTTTTTTTTTTTTTTAAATTTTTATTCGATTCAATATGGCGGATGGATTCGTTTGATTCCGTCCATTTATAGAAATCGACCAATAACGTTTTTTTTTTCTTTTACGAATTCGATACCCTTCGTTATATTTTACGCCTATTATTATTATTACTATTATTATTATGATTACTATTATTATTATTAATTAAACCATAGAGTGTAATTTAAAAAAAAAATAAATAAATTTTTTTAATAATTTTTTTCGAATTTTTTTTTTTTTTTTACTAACTTAAACGATTTCGTTTCATAACAAAAAATATCATCATCATCATCATCATCATTATTATATTATTAATTTAATTAAATTTAATAAATTATTTAAAAATTTTACACTCTATGAAAAGAAAAAAAAAATTGTTCGAATCTCTCGTAATTTTATAATTTTTTTTTATCCGCCATTTTTTTCTTCCCCCTCCCCCCAACGAGATTTTCGTTCTCCCCGATATAATAATAATAATAATAATAATAATAATAATAATATCTTTAAAAATTTCGAACGGACTACATTCGCATTAAAATTTATTATTATTATTAATTCGAAACGTAATAAAAATTTATTAATGGCGTTCGTTGGTTCGTTCATTTAAATTTTTTTTAAATATATATATATATTTATTAATTTAAGACCTCGAACTCACGCACACGCACACGCACACGCACGCGTACGCACACACATACATACGTCGTCTGCAAATCGTTTTTTTTTTTTTTTATCACCTTAAATTAACATTTACAATAAGAAGTAGAAAAAAACATTTTACGACAAACGACCTCATTTTTTTTTTTTTTTTTTTTATTTGCGATTGTAATTTTTTTTTTTTTTTTTGTTTTGTTGGCGTCATGTCAAAATCTAATTTAAATTTTTTTTTTAAATTTAATATCTGAAAAACTATTATTAACCCAGTCTCGAGAAAAATTATTTAAAAAAAAAAAATTTTGAGAAGTTTCTATTAATACGAAAAATTTTTTTCTGCCATTTTACGTTTTCTATAAAAAAAAAAAAAATTTTCCAACGCGTCCAAATTAGGATTTACACGCACACGCACCCACACACACAATTATTTCTAGAAAAAATGTAATTTTTGTTTTACGCGGTGGTGGTGGTAATAATAATGATAATATGATTTTTTTTCTCCCATATAAACAGGTAGCTCGTAAAAAAATATAAAATCAACATGGCTGATGAAGCAAGAAAGGCCAAACAGGCCGAAATTGACCGTAAAAGAGCCGAGGTCAGGGCAAGATTAGAAGAATCAGCAAAAGCTAAAAAAGCCAAAAAAGGTTTCATGACACCGGAAAGAAAGAAGAAACTTAGGGTGAGTTTTTCACTTTTAACTTGATCCAAAAAAAAAATGGCGATCGAGTTCGATTGACGAGGAATTTTATTTTTTTTTCTTTTTCCCCACCCAGTTACTCTTGCGTAAGAAAGCCGCAGAAGAACTCAAGAAAGAACAAGAAAGGAAAGCAGCCGAAAGGAGGAGGATAATTGAAGAAAGATGCGGTAAACCAAAACCATTAGACGATGCCAACGAAGGTAAAAAAACTTTACAAACAAACAAAGAGAAAAAAAATCAATTTTTTTTCATTTGACGATTTAAAAACCAACCCCTTACACCCGCCCTCACATACACACCCACCCCCACACACACTTTTCACATTAATTAAAACAAAAACAAAAAAAAAAAAATTCATTCTTCACGCAGAAAGTATAAAAAGAATTCTTCGTGAATACCATCAACGAATTGCTAATCTCGAGGATGTCAAATTCGACTTGGAATATGCCGTCAAAAAGAAAGATTACGAGGTAGACATAACAAACAAAAAAAAACATAATTTTTTTTACGCTCTATTTTTCGTCATGTTGCTGTTGCTGCTGCTGCTGTATCATCATCATCGTCATCATTTTTTAAAATCTCATTCATAACACGACTAAAAAAGAAAAAACACAATTGCTACTCCATGTTTATCTATGTTAAACTTTCTTCTTAACTTTTCATAACTTTTTTTTTTTTTCACGCATTAAAACAAAGCTGTTGTTATGAATAACTATTTACGCTGTTGTTATGAATAACTATTTGCGCTGTTGTTTTAACACGCACACACGTCCGCGCGCGAAAAGTATTAAATTAAACGGTTTTATCTAATTACACGTCGGTTAAAATTTCGTTCGAATTATCGGGTGTTATTTAATATATTTATGACGTCGACAAACAACAGCAAAAGGAAGAAAGGAACACACTTACAACAACAACAACACATACAACAACAACAAATGAGATGACCAACAGCGATTTATTATTATTATTATCGTTTAAATCAACGAAGGGATAAAGAAATAATTAATTTTTGATAAAATCTTTTTATTAGCCGCTATTCAAACGATATGCACTGAATATTGGAATCGTCTTTATCAATTAGAATCTGAGAAGATTGATCTAGAAAGACAAGTAACGTTAAAAGATCTCGAGGTAATTTTCTATCTCTTTTTAGAAGAAGAAGAAGATGGAGGAGGAGGAGAAAGAGAAAAAATTAATTTTTGCATATTCGAGTTTTTTTTTTTTACGCTTTGTTATTATTATTATTATTGTGATTGCCATCATCATCATCATCATCATCATCATCGTTATTAGTATCACCACCACCACCACCATCACCACCATTTTCATCATACGCGTAATTTCATTAACAAAAATGTCAGCCAACGGTTTTGGTTTCAAACGCAAAAAAAACAACAACAAAAAATCGAAAAATTTTTCTCGTCAACGCGAATCGATTTTTAAAAAAATTCTAAATTTAAATTATTATTATTATTATTATTATTATCATTATTACATTTTTTGGGTCGACGTCCAAAAAAAAATTTTAACGATTGAAATTTTATGACGTAATATTACTTTTTTTTTTTTGTTTTATTTTTACTCCCGCCACGTTTTTTTTTTTTTCTTCTTCTTCTTATTCGGGTTTCTTTTTATCGATTTTATAAAAAAAAAAAAAATTGTTTTATCGTCGTGGCACCATTCGAATAAATAAAATCGCGAGAAATAATAAGAAAAACATTGATTGATTCCACGTCGTAATGAAATAATTGGAAGGAAAAACGAAACGGCAACAACGCGATCGATTTCCGCCAGAAATATTGTCGAAATCGTACGATTTTAAATAAAATGATAATAATAATAATAATAATAAGTACTCGCGCGAGTTACTGCCACGTCTAAACGCGAATTTCGTCGACAAAAACTTTTCCAGCCGGAATAGCTAAATCGATAACGAACGAGTTGTCGCGCGCGTGGAGTCATCACGTTCACGTATACCGGAAATGCATTTTTTTACTATCATCATATACATCATTATTATTATCATTATCAAAAAAAAAAAAATTCAAAGGATTCGTATATATTGTTTATAGAAACTTTGAAGAAGATCATCCAGTCTTATTACGACCGCATGTTAGTATGCGAAAGTCAAAAATGGGATCTTGAACATGAAGTACGAAAAAAAGATTACGAGGTAATTATCCAAAGAACAATCCAAAAAAAAAAAAAAAAAAAAAATTAGGCGAATTGCCGCAGACACTGGAAATATGTCCAAAAAAAAAAAATAGGTCGACAATACTACTACTACCACTACTACTACTGCCACTACCACTACTACTACTACTACCACTACTGCCACTACTACTATTACCACTACTGCCACTGCTACTTTTCTCTTACGTATATAACTTGTTTGGTTTTCTTTTTTTTTTTTTTTTTGTTTCTTTTCTTAGAATTTTCTAGAACTTTTTTCTTTTTTTTTTTTACAATTAGTTATATTCATTTTTTCATTTTATACGCACTTACGTAAGTGCGTCGTCATCGTCACACGTTCAACATTTTATAAAAATATTCATTCATTCATTCATTCATTCATTTGTCCGTTAAGAAAAATCATTCACGAATGACAAATAATAATTACATGTATTTATTTAAAGTTTTCTTAGATGAAATTTTCCGAGACTTTTGTATATTTATCATTATTATTATTTTTTTTAAATTTAAGTATGGCTTTTTTTAAAAACATTTTACAACAACATTTCTCTCTCTCTCTCTCTCTTTTTTTTCATTTTTTTTTTTTTTTTAATTGTCTATTTCCACGTCTGTTATATTTTTGTATCCGAACTTTTTTTTTTTTTTTGGATTTTTTTTTCGAGAGAAAATACTTCATATCAAGATCCCATTTATTTATTATCATCATCATCGTCGTCATCATCATCATCATCATCATCATCATCATCATTTTTTTTTTCTGGATTTTTTTTTTTTTTTTTTTGTAAAAAAAGAGAAATGTGTGAAATGTTGTTACGATGCCATACTTTTATTTGAATTATTATTATTTTTTTTTTTCTAAAGTAAAAGTTTACGAAAAACACGACGGAAAACTTTTATGAAAAAACAAAAACAAAAAAGGTTTTGTCTTCTGCTCGAGACCAGATAAAAAATCGATTTTTTTTTGTACATATTTATATATGTATATTTTGTATAATTGTAGTGAAAAAAAAATTCGGATGAATTCGGCCAATACGAAATTCGATTCGATTCGATACGATACGATACGATACGATTCGAGAATAAAAAATGAAAGAAAGAAAAAACCGTTAAAATTGACAGCGTTCAATACGGGAGGTGATCGATAAAGCTTTGCTTTCGAACATGCTTATTAAAATAATAATAATAATTTTTTTTTTCAATCATTCTGTTACGTAATTAATTAATTAATAATAATAATAATAATTAATATTAGTAATTTTTTTTTATATTTTTAAACTAATATTAAAATTTGGGTAAGTAATTTTTTTTTTGTCTACCATTTTTATTTTTAAGTATTTTGATGAATTTATTTAAAATGGCGCCTTTTGAGCGCCATTTTATTTTACCTCTATACTAACGATATTTTTTTTTTAAATTTAATTTGATAGATCAGCGAACTCAACGCACAAGTCAACGATCTTCGCGGAAAGTTGTAAGTAATCTTAAAAATTATTATTATTATCATTGATGAAAATGAACGATGACGTCATAATTATTATTATTATCATTACAGCATAAAACCTACATTGAAAAAAGTCTCCAAATACGAGAACAAATTTGCAAAATTGCAAAAGAAAGCTGCGGAATTTAATTTCCGTAATCAATTGAAACAAGTTAAAAAGAAGGAATACACCCTGGAAGAAGAGGATAAAGAGGTACGTTACGTTTTTTTTTTTTTTTTTTTTCAAAAATTATTACTTCCGGTCTATCGTTACGTCACTTCCGTTCGCGCCAAAAATAAATTTTTTAAAATATGAGAAATTTGTAGAATGCAACGAAGAGAAAAACGGAATTGTAAATTTAATTTCTTTTTCCGACGGTAGGCGTCGTTGTTTAAGTTAGGGACAATTTCCGGTAAAACCGGATTTAAAAAAAAAAAAAAAACCGCGAAACGATTTCTATCTCTTTCTCTTTCTCTATCTCTATCTTTCTTACTCTTAATTTTTCTATCTTTTTTTTAAAAAAATTTTATGTGTTCGTTCATTTCGTTTTCATTTACTTTAAATTTTCTTTTTTTTTTGTAATTTGTGATTTGTCTCTTCTTATTCTTTTATTAATTTTCTTTTTGTGTTTTTTTTTCTTCTTCTTCGTCTTTCTTTTCTTTTCTATCAAAACATCCGAAGACGGAAAAAGCAGCTAAAGCCGAATGGCAGAAGAAGTAATATCAAGTTCTTCACGACATTACACAATTATTTATACAAAAAAAATTTTTTTTTTTTTTTTGAATATTATACGTGCTCGTTTATAAATTATTACATACAAAAAATCAAGAACGACAACAATCACAACAACCGCAACAAGAATCACACAACGAGCCAAACAAACAAACAAACAAACAAAATTTTTTTTTTTTTTTTTTTATGTTGTTTGATCGATTCAATTTATAATTTTTATTCTTAAACTTTAACCAAAAAAAAAAAAAATTAAATTTTATTAATGTAATAATAATAATAATTATTACTGTTTTTTTTCTCTACCCCCACCACCACACACATACCCCTCAACAACCACACCACTTTTTGTGACAAGGTGAGAAAATTATTGTTCTTATTTAAATTTTAACACTCACACAATCGGAAACAAACAAACAAAACTAAAATTTTCTATCTAACCTTACTACTGTACATACGTATATGTAAATAACAATTTCAAATTTCTTCTGCTAATCACGTGATTGTAAAAAAATTTTTTTCGCCGTAACGAACGTCTAATTTTTTTTTTTTTTTTTAAATTAATTTTCGCAGTTTTATCTCACATCTCAATCGCATAGTCCGCCATTTTGAAAAAAAAACCGACGTCACCACCGCCTTCTTTAAATTTCCCGCCATTTTATTCCCTTAGAGATTACCATAACAAATAATAACTTTTTCCCTCACATATTTCAACCTTAAACCTTTAACTCGTGCATTGAATTTTACGTTAATTATTATTATTATTATTATGGGTAATTTTGCGTCACGATAATCTCACAGCCTTCTAATTTATATAAAATAATTAATTTTGACTTTTTTTTAAAAAATTTTTTTTTCAGAAAAAACCGGAATGGTCGAAGAAAGGAGACAAGGTAAAAGAACAAGAAGAAGTCGAAGCCTAAATTCACCAAAAAAAAAAAAAATTTTTTTCTCTCTCACACATACGTTTAATAAAAATGTCGTCTGATTGTTTTTTTTTTATTTACGTGTTATCACCTTTTTATGTCTGTTATCGATAAAAAAAAATTTTCCTGTTTATTTATTTATTTTTTTTTTAAAACGATGTCGACGATTAGACGGTCGACTCGATTAATAAAATAATTTTTTTTTTTTCAAAAACAAAAAAAAAAAACAATTTGCATGCATTGTAAGCAGAAGACGAAAAAAAAAATATAATAATAATAATTATATATATATACATATATAAATACATATACGATATTCATGTCGTAAATAATTTTCTTTTTTTTTAATATAAAAACCTTTTTAACCTTTTTAATTTGTTATCGTGTAAACGTAATTAATCGTTATAAATGTGACTAAAAAAAACAAAAGTTAAACAAGTGTCGTGTCAAAAGTCATCGTCTTCGTCGTAGTCGTGTCTCTTGTCATTTTAAAAAAAAAACAAAAATTTTCCTGCCACGATTGTCTTCGTCCGCTTTTTATTTGTTGCTTTAACGTACGTTTGATGATTTGAATGAGGAGAGTATTTAAAAAAAAAAAAAAAATTTTAATCGATACTTATGACGTCATATGTCAAATTTAAATTAAGATAAAAATTATGAAAATTTATCCAGTAAGTTATTATTATTATTATCATCATTTTTTTGATTAGTAAAATTAAGTTAAAAATGAAATTAATTAATTTTAATCGATTTTTTTTCGTTTTTTGTTTTTTTCAATTAATTATTGTTTTAGGGTGAAATGGATTCCACGACGACAACGACAAAATCATCACCGACGGTTAAAAGTAAGTAAAATAAAATAATAAAATAACCGTAACGAATAATAATAATAATAATGATAAATAAACGATTATTTTTAATTGTCGAAAAAAAAAAAAAATAGAAGAAAATACGCCACCGCCATCTCCGACGACGGAACCCGAAAACGTCGACGTGGAAGAAGACGAATAATTTTTTTTTTTTTGTTAATAAGACGAATAAAACACATGCTCGCGTTTAGGCTAGCGTTATTTAACGATTCTATTTACACGTTCGCACTTCCTTATTAATAAAAAAAAATAATAATAATAATAATAATAATAATAATTAAAATTTTTGAATTTTATAACAAAATAAGATAATGTTTTAATTTTTCTTCCTATTTTCGAATTATTTATCACACCGGCCTAATACAAATTTCTATTATTATTATTATTAATATTATTTTAATATAAAAAAAAATTCAATGTCGTTTCGATTTATTTCTCGAAATTATTTTTAAAAATATATATACAATACACGATGAAAATTCAATGACTTGAAATTTTTTTAATTGTACACTAACGCCCTCTTTTATTTTTTTCATGAACTAATATAACATTTTCCATGTTTACATGAATTTTCCGTTGAAAATTTCCCGCCATTTAATTTAAATTTCTTATCGTTATTATTATTTTTTATTAATGGCAAGTTCCAGGTACTTGATGAAATGTTTCAATATTTATTCTAGGCCAGGTTTTTTTTGGAAATAAATACTGCAATTTCAATGGTGCTGTACATAAAGTCTCTACCGATAGGTCGTCTCATCCCACGTAATTTCAACGACTCTGACACGTTGCTTCCACGTTGATCAATATTACTACTTTTTCACATAATTTCCATCTCACAAATTTTCTTTTGTATTTCATCCTTTTTCCCGCTTCTTCGGTGTTTCTTTCTATCACTTCAATGATTTCCACTGATTTACGCCATTAAATAGGTTTTACTGTGATATCCGGTTTGTTGGCAGACACAGTTTTGTAATGTTTATTTTCCGATCGAACAAAACAATGTTCGAAATGTAGCTGTATCGTTCTTCGGGTAATTTTCCAATTTACTTTCACGATACATTCCGATAGAGATTTTTCTTTGCTTTTTTAAAATTTTCCAATATCAAAAACATCCTGATCAATCGTTTCCGGTTACGATTAGAAAATTTTTTCACATTGAAGAACCGTAAATCCGTCTAAAACTCGATCCTGTGCAACTGTGATGAATGCTTTTCCTTTAATTTTTATTTTATTATTATTATTATTATTATTATTATTATTATTATTTGAAGCTTATGTTTTTAAGTACAAGTACTTACAAGTACTTCCGGTAGGTATGAAATCAAAAATTATAACTCGATGTAAGAGGATTATCAACAGAAAATCCTCTTACATATCATCAATCGATATTTTATTCCTCTATGATATTCTCGTGAATAATTTTAACGTTTCGACAAAAAAAAATGTCGGGTATTTAGAAAAAAAAAAAAAAAAAAAAACTTAACAACGATTAAACAACAAAACAAAAGCACCACCGTCGTTATTAAATTTATCGATAACGCGCGTGCGCGAGTTTTCCGCCAAAAATTTATTCAAAATACGAATTTTCCTTCTCTTCGAAAGCGAAACGTGGGAAAATTTTATCGCGTGCACGACGTCAGAATTATAAAAAGAATATAAAAACTCATGTTTAACTTATGCCGTGCGTAATGAAATTTATATTTATTTATATATTTATTCTCTCGTAACACGTCGTTACATTTTCCGTTTGCGCCGTGAAAATTATATATTTTAAACCGTCGAAAATCCGAACAGTTTTTCATTTGTTATCATTTTCCGCAGTTTGATTTTATTTTTTCCGACATTTTCACGATGTCCCGTGCCACGACGATTGTTTTATCATTATTATTATTATTATTATTATTATTATTATTATTAAGTCGATAAGTGATTTACAAAACAAAAATTTATAATTAAAAAATCATATGTGAAAATCTTTTCTTTTTTTTTTTTTTTTTTTTGGAAATTTTTCAAAAACGAAATTTTTTTTTTTTTTGGGGGGAGGGAGGGGGTGTTATCAATCATTCATTGGCATATTAATAATATACAGACACCTAACGACAGAAACAAAAGGGGTAAGTTTTTCTTCACATCTTGCCTAATTTATAAATTTATTTTTAAAAAAATGTCGAAGTTTTACAAAAGTTTGTGTGCGTGTGTGTGATTTTTAACTAGTGCCACGTTTTTTTTTTTTTTTTATTTATTTCCTGTCGCGTTTTGTTAGTAACCTGTTCATGTATATATAAATTCGTAAATTTTATTATGAAATTAATTTAATCGCAATTTATTATTAATATTATCATCACCATTTGAAAATAAATAAGTTTAACGAATGATAATATTATTATCAATAAGTTTTAGACTGTTTTATCAATAAGTTCGTGTAAGAAGACAACAACGTGCGTTAGTTCGAATGTTAAAACAGTTTTCAAAAATAAATAAATAAATAACTTTTAATAATTTGTCAGTCGGAATTCTTTGTTATTTTTTTTTCAAATAAAAATTTTTTTTGTTGTTCGTCAAACGAAAATGTCAGTCAATAATAACGTAGACATTTTTTTTTTTTTCCAGACCGCATAAAAAAAAAACTTTTAGAAAAAAAATTAAAGTCTATTACATATATATATATCGTCGTCAGGTATGATGATTTTTAAGGTACGTGAAAATATCAAGAGTTTCGTACGTTATTTATACAAGAGAGAGAGAGAGAGCGAGAGAGACGGCCATCTTCAATGTCTGCCAATATTGTTTAAGTATTCAATAAAACTTTTAAATAAATTTTTTTTTAAATTT